ACCCTTGCAATGAATTACAGACATGATCAGTGGCTCCAGTATCTACATGTTTGTCCCATTTTTGTGTCTTTTTTTGGGTTTATTTTCCTTTTATTTTCCCCATTTATAGGATTTTCGTGGTTTATTTGGTCCAATTCTGTGTTTTTGTGTTTTTCTCTTTAGTTTCGTTTTGTGCGTCTTTGTGTTTTGCTCCGTGTTTTTTCCGTGTTTATGTTTTCAGGAGGTAGGTTGTGTCGGTCGAGGACGAGACTGCTAGAGCTGAGACCGGGAAATCAAGAATACCCATTGTCGTTCCCAGAACACTGAAGAAAGGACCGAAAAAATAGACTGAAGAGCTGCCCTGCATTTCTCGCGACTCGCGAGATGGTCGCGACTCGCGAGATGGTCATGACTCGCGAGTTCAACAGAGCCGAAACATTGAATTTCGCGAGACGAGTCGCGACTCGCGAGTCAAGGTCGCGACTCGCGAGATGGAGTCGCGACTCGCGAGACATGTCGCGACTTTCCCCAGATTTTCAAGATTTTTTTCCGACGCGTGACTCGCGAGATGTCGCGACTCGCGACCTGAGAAAAGAAGAAGTCGCGACTCGCGACTTACTCGGCGCGAATTTTGAGGTTTTGATTTTTACATCAGATTTAAGACCTAGGGATCTTTATTCAACTGGCAGACTTCGTTTTTACACTTTTTCTCTCTAGAAACTCATTCCTTTTCATACTTTTGCTCTTTTGATTTGTTTTTGGAGATTAAAACTCTGTTTTTTGGCTTGGATTTGGATTGTTCATTGGATTAGACATTGGGATTCTTGTTATTAATCGTAAGTTCTTCTTTTTCTCAATTGTGTGATTGATGAGATGGCTTGGGTTTATATGAATTTTGATGTTGAATTCCATATGAGTAGCTAAATCCATACGCTAGGGATAGGGGATGATTGTTTAGGTTCGATTATAATTGCTTGTTCTTAATTGTTCATATCTATTCAAGTTGTGCTTATTCTAGAGTTAGTAGATTGATCACCTTTCTAACCTAATTAATCAACGTGAAGAACTGAGAGGGGAGACGTTGGTCGATATAGGCTTGTTTAGAGTAGACTTGTTCGTAATAGTATTGTCTATGAGTTGTTGGAATTGATAGTTGATCGTGTACGTTCACTCTCTTGTTACGAAGAGTTATTAAGAGTGGGCCTCTGGACGAGAAACGATTCAAGTCCTTTAACTGAGCAATTGATTGTCGGTAGTTGTGTTAGAACCAAAAGCAATTATCCCCGATTCCCTGGCTCTTTAATCATTTGAGTTAATTCACTTGCTGTTTAAATCGATTTTCATTTATTTTAAAGTCATTAGCTATAATTGAAATCAAAATCATTGAAATAGAGTGTTTAGGATCTTCTTTTCTTTTTTTTGTGATTGAATAATCGTACAATTGAATCCGGCTAACCTTCCTTGCGATACGACCCGTGTTGGGTTCTGTTAGGAACGTCAAACAACATGCACAGTATTGAACTTTATCG